ATCTTACCTAGTTCACTTACTAGTTGACTAAATTTATTACATCACATAAAGTATGCTAACTGAGCATTTTGGCATCACTTAACAAGTGGTGACCCACTGACCACCACCTGGGATGGCCCACCTGGGTTTACTACCAGGGGTAGTAAAAAAAGGTATACATTCTTGTGAGTCCATGCGATAGACCTATGAATACAAAATATTTTTCTTATTATTGATTGAATTAACTGTTTATTCATTAACTAATATACTATTTGTTTAACTGAATCCTTGAAACACTTAAAATTATCAATATAATTTTACTAACAAAAGTACCTTTGCAATATCCCGGTCATACTTATCTTGAGTGCAAATCATTTATTAATTATCTTTAATAATAAGTATTGTGTAATAAATTTGATATATAAAAATATTATTCACTGTATAAATCTATTTATATATAAGTTTTCGTAATAAGTATTATAAGTCATATAAGTTTTTGTGAAATTACCGCTACTTTAAAGATTTTCATGTTTTAGCAAACTTAACAAATGGGGATGTTGAAACTTATTTTTATATTTGGGTGTAAATTTTATCAATGAACCTTTTTATTTGCGAAAAACAAAAGTGATCCGTGATTAAAAGCATATTGTTTATTCCCAACCCACTTCAATATGCTTATCAAATAGACTGTTACTTAATTGATATGTTTTTGTATTTAGTGCAAAAATCGAGCATTTAATGAATAATGAAGTACCTAAAATGTCCCGGATATTGGTAAATAGATATCTGTACTAAATTATAAAAATTAATATATTTATAACTCGACGCCTATGTAATTTAATCAAAAATCTTTTAATTTGTCAAATATTTTATTTGATATTTATCTATAAATAATATTTCTGTGAATTAACTTTTTGATTGATATTTGATTAAAAAATAATTATCTAAACAAGTACACATATACTGTACCTAAAATATTTTTACAATAATCAGCTCACAAGGATTAATTAATTAAAGTTTATATACTATATTATACAGTTTATAATTACAACATATGTAATAATATACTATTGTACTTTGTAATAATGTACAATTTATATAAGATGTTTAAGATTAAAAATTTAATTTTATGTTACCGTAACAGTGTTAACCCACTTAGAATTTTATCATACATATTGTGAACATGCTCATATGTTCATATAGACAACCTTGAAAGACATATTATATAAAACGAGAATAACTTTCTTTTGGTTTAAGTAAATTCATTTAAACAAAGATGAGGTGGATACTATTGGCAGTTATTATCCAGGTATTTGTCACATGTGTCCGGGCGAGTGACAAAGTGTTTTGGTATGAAAGTGCGGCCGCGGACGGCATGCAAGAAGCCGCGCCTATCGGTAATGGACGGATAGGTGGACTGGTTTATGGACACCCGGGTTAGTTAT